GGGTCTAGACCAGAAACATCAGCTTTCCTGCTCCTCTGATGCTGCTTGGCCTGCGGTGTTCATCCAGCTCTACACCTTGTTATCTCTTTTTCCTGGTCAGCTCTGCTACTAGAGTCATGTAGTGCTTATATTCATGGACTAATAATTCAAAATGTGAATGCAAGTGTTCTATGGCAATTTAACTTTTTTTTTCAAAAATCTGATTAGTAAAAAAACTTAGGAGTAAAAGCAACCACAATCATTGGTAGGAGGAAATCACTGCAGATGCTGGAATCTGCACTGAAAACAATAAAAGCTGGGGATCACAGTGTGTCAGGCAATATCCATGGAGACAGAGCAAGCTAATGTTTCAAGTCTAGATGACTTCAGAGCTGAAGCAAAGTGTTGTGGAGGGGGCAGCATTTATGCTATAGTTTGGTGGTGGGTTGGGCTAGTAGGTGTAGAGGACTGGTGCAGAAAAGATGTTGATATTTCAGATTAAGTGATCAGTACGGCAGAACAATGGCATGTCTCCTGCCAGACTGGAAAGAACAGACAGTCCCACTGGAATGTGGGGAGGGGACAGAGGACATAACAGAATGTAACAAGCTAAAAGAAGGGGAAGAACAGAGTTCATTCACAATTTGAAGGTGTTGAACTCAATATTAAGTCCAGAAGGCTGTAAAGTGCCTCGTCTGAACGTGAGTTGTTGTTTCTCCAGTTTACGCTGTGATTCACTAGAGCACTGCAGCATGTCCTCTCTCCCCATCCCAATGGGATGGTCTGTCCTTCCAATAACAGTTCTGAGGAAGGGTCACCGGACCCGAAACACCAACTCTGCTTTCTCTTCACAGATGCTGCCAGACCTGCTGAGCTTTTCCAGCAACTTCTGTTTCCATTTCTGATCTGCCGTTCTTTCGGGTTTTAACCAGCAATGGATGTTTGTATTGATAGTGATGCCTGCAGCCCAAGAATAAACAATTTGTATTTCTGGAAAATACCTGACAAACACTTACCTGTAATTAATAACAATCTGATCCAATATGCTTAGTTACAATTGGGATGCCATTGTGACCACTTCTTTTCAATTTCTCCCCCATAACATTAAACATAGCTTATGTATCTAAGGATAAAATTACTGTCAATACCTGCAATTATCACAGACAGGTAAATCGAAGTGACTGCTGAGAAAGGAGTCCATGAATTCTTTGCCACATTCTTCACACAATAAATAATCAAATTCCAAGACAGGTCCTGCAGTTACAGACAGCATATTTCGAATTAGCGACAACTTTCTTATAATGTGGCAGAGGGGGGAAAAAAAAATTAGCACGATGAAAATTTTCTGAAACGATTACCTGCACTTGAGTAATAAAGACAGTAAAACAGTAGCTACAAGAGGTCTGGCCCATACATTTATAGGCACTTAAGTAATTAGTGTTGTACAGTGTCACCCCAAAATGGAGTCTCAGACCTGCAGCATAATTTGTCCCAGTAAAATAGATCAATTATCTTGATTCAGTAATGGTGGCAGCACTGTGTGGTTGAAGATCCTGTCAATTGGTTGTTCTTTAAACCGAAAACCCAGGGAACAGTCCATTGTACGACTGAAACTGGAACAAGAAGTTCTCCTGTTGTCTTGGCCAACACAAAGTAACAGAGAATGCTGTTGAGGATACTGTGATTGATGCGCATTTGGACTTCCAAGAGGCTTTTTCATAAACTGCCAGAAAGTATACATTTAGCAAAAATGAAAATTTGGAATTACAGGGGTAATCTGGATCCTAAATTGGCTTAGGGACAGAAGTGAACTTTCTTCCTTTCAAACTGGAATGAAATCTGCAATTACATTCCATGGGGGTTAATAGTAGGACCATGCTCTTTTTGCTATATATTATTCACTTAGATATGCAGAAGATCATGTCAAAGTTTGCTGCTAACAGACAACTCAAGTGTAGACAGTGAGGAGAGTTGTAATAAACTCCAGGAAGACGCAGATACAATTTAACACAAGGATGAAGTGATTCATTTTGGCAGGAAGGAGATGCAACATAAGCGAAATGGAACAATTTTAAAGGAAATATACAATTAAGTAAAGATGGCAGCACAAATTGAGACGATTGTAACAAAATACACATTGGATTTTTAAATAAATGCATATGGAGCACAAAAGCAAAGAAGTTACACTGAACCTGGTTGGACCCTAGCTGGTATATTGTTGCCAGTTCTGGGCACCTCATTTTAGTAAGGATGTAAAGGACTTACAGAAGTCGTATAGGGGACTTAATGGAATATCATCAGGGAAGAATTCAAAGAGATGGAGATCCTACTAGAACTGACAGCAAAGGAGGTTGAGGGGAGATTTGACTGAGTTGTTCAAAAATTATGGAGTGTTTTGATTCAATAAGGAGAAACTGTTTCCAATTGGAAAAGGATCAATTACATGCATAAACAAAATTGGTCAAATGTCATCCTCACACTATAAATCTTTTACTTGTATGGGCAAATGCATTGCATGCTGTGACTGATAATTAAAGCCTGGGAGGGTCAAATGGGCAGGGAGGAGGAAATACCCAAGTTGACAGTCTGTTAGCCAGTCTGTTAGACAGTAAAATGCAACTTGTATGGATGCTGTACCAATAAAGAATGAGGTTTGATCAGCTAATGCATCTTGTCCATTTGTCCATCCACAACTAAACGGAGTACTTGTGATTTATTTATAGGACGTGAGTGTCACAGGCAAGGCCACCATCCAGGGAAATGTAGGCTGTGAGCTGATGCAGATTATACTGTACATACCAAACCACAGGCTGCGTGTTTTCCTATACTGAAATGATTTCCAGTATTTTCTGCAGACCACGCTATATATAACAGCAACAAGATCAGAAGAACCAGGCCCATCAAGTCTACTCTGCCATTCAATGCGCTGATCTGATAATCTTCAACTTCACTTTCCTCCCTTATCTCGATAACTGTCCATTTACTTTACTGATTAGGAATCTGTCTGAGATTTGAATATACTTAACGACCCAGCCTCGACAGCCCTTTGTGTAAAGAATTCCACAGATACACTATCGTCAGAAAATAAACTCTTCATGGGACTAGTTCAGTTTGGGATTATGGTCGACATGGACTGGTTGGACTGAAGCGTCTGTTTCCGTGCTGTGTGACTATTATTAATGGTTAACCCCTCAATTTGAGATACGTCCTCTGGCCTGAACTCTCCCACAAAGGCAAACAATCTCTTTGCCCCTACCCTGTGAAGCCCCTAAGAATCTTATATGCTCTCATTCTTCTAAACTCCAACGAGTATAAATCCAACTTACTCAACATTTCCTCATAAGAAAATCTTTCCATGCCCAGGATCAACTTAGTGAACCTTCTCTGGACTGCTTCCATTGCCAGTATTTTTTTTTTGGTACAGGACCATAACAGTTTTCCAGTTGTGGTCTGACTAATGCCTTATACCATCTTAGTAAGACCTCCCCACTTTTATGCTCCAACCCCTTTGAAATAAAGGTCAAAAGTCCATTTGCCTTCCCCATTACCCAATGAACTTGGATGCAAGTATTTTGTGATTCATGCACAAAGACCCCTAAATCCCTTTGCTGTAGCTTTCTGCAGTCTTTCCCTATTTAAATAATATTCAGTACTTCTAATCTGGACAAGTCTCGTGAGGTTGCATCATTTGGTAGCAGTAGCCCAGAATTTGTTTTTTTTTTAAAAATCACTTTAGGGATTTTTCTGTGCTTTATGTGCACCTCGGACCTGTACTGATTGAGTCAGAAAGGTTAAACCTTAGTTTTACACCATGGAAAGAGTCACTTTGGCCAATCATACCTGCACTGGTCATCAAGAACCTATCTCCTCTAGTTGCATTTTTTTTGCACGTGGCCCGTGGCCTCGTTGCTAGGACATTTCAAGTTTTAAAAGTTGCGATGGTTCCTGTGTTTATAACCTCTCAGGCACTAAGTATCAAAGACTCCATCACCTGAATGTCGAAAGACATTCTTTAAATACTTCCGAACCTCTTGATCTGTGGTCATTGATCCCTCTACTAAAGGATGTTTCCTTTTACTTTTGTCCCTCAATTTTGTACATCTCAGTCAGCACCCCTCCCCATCTGCCCAGCCTTCCCTGCTCGAAGGATAACAATCACAGCCTATCTAGTACCTGTTCATAGTTAAAATACTCCAGGGTGAACAACAACCTGGTGAATCTCCTCTGCATCCCCTCTGGATGCAATCCCATCCCAATCATACTGTGCTAGAATGTTTAATACAAATGTACCTGGTTGATGTACAACTTTATTCACTTCAGGAAGCTCTTCCTCCTCCTCCTCTAGAAAGAATCCTCCTCCTGTATCTATTACTTTGGGTGCAAGCTTTGCAACAGTGCCACCTGTTAGATACAAATATAAATATCCTTTTAGACAAAACTGTGGTATTGCAGAATGTACAGGATTACATCCATCAGTGAACACAGATCATGCTTAAAAACAGGGCTTAGATTTAAATTCTAAACAGCAAGATCTTTTTGTCTTAGTTCCGAGCTCTCAGCTACAGAGCATATTTAAATAATTCTATTCAGACGTAACACTACAGAACAAATCAGTGTATTAACATCAGAAAAACACTACTTGCCTGAATCAGCGGAAGGGTAGGGTCTGCTGGCTAGCCTGGCCTGCCGCAGGATCAGTGCTCTCTGTCGGTTCCGCTCAATCTTGGCCAACACAACAGGTGGTAGAGACTTTTTCTGCTCCGGCTCTCCCTGTCCTGTATCAGCAGAGGTCGATGACGATCCACTCTTCGCCTCCAAATTCATGTTTGGAATTAGGTTTTTGCCTCGTCACTTCCAACCAGCTGGAAGAATAATTAGGTACAGCACAGTTAGAACATCTGATACGAAAAGAAGGCAGGGTTCACAATAAAGACCAATGGCTTGCAGTCTGTTGAATTAATTGGCAATCAGTGTGTTCATTTTGGGAATTGACCCACAGAGATCAGAAAGATGCCAGGATTGATATCTGGCACATATTGAGCATCATTCGTGCATTTAGCTTTGATTTTAAGCTCGTGGCTCTTTAACCTGGATTTCCCAGCTTGTGTCTACCCTCCTGAATCCTTCACGAAAACAGAAGTTTCTGGGAAAGCGACTGACAGGCAGTTTTTGTTCCTGATTTACAGCATCCTCGGTTCTTTTGGGTTTCCCAAATCCTTCATCATTTTAAACACTTTGACTCATTCACTTTTCAATATCCTGCACTCAAAAAAAAATACATGCCATGTTTCTGTAATGATGTCTCTTTAAGCCCTTGTATCATTCTGGTGATCCTGTTTCATCCTCCTCCAAAGTCAATAATATTCTTCGTAAAATACACGCCCAAAAGTGAAGGTAATGCTGCAGATAGGATCCTGCACAGCCAAAGCCTCATTTTCTTACTTTGAGTTTCTGAGATAACAGCCAATATTCCATTAGCTTTCTTGATTCCTTTCTCTACCTGTGGACAGGATTTTATTAAATTTATCCCAGTACCCAAATACCTCCTCCCACCTGCACATCTCACAGCCTCTCGTCACCGAGACACATTCAGATTTATCATTCTTGGATTGAATGGATGTGTTCACACTCTCCCTGTCTTTCCAACACCACTTCCGGCCACTGACCCTTTCCGGAAGTGACGGTACACACACGGCCGACACCAGACGCTTCCGTGACGCGATGACGTCACACGCACCGGGCTTCCGCCCCCTGCAGGTGGCTGAGGGGAAGCGGCAGCCCGTGCCATAGGGAACCAGAGGCTCATTCGTTGTGAAACCTGAGGCTCATTCATTGGGGAACCTGAGGCTCAATCAATGGGGA